GCAGGCCCTAAGAGAGCTGACCAAACCGTGCGCCCTCAGCTAATTCTCACTGCAGCTGCAACAACACAAAACACGCCAGACACGCGGAGGGGAAACAGGAAACAGGAAACGACAGCCGGAGCGGCGCGGGGAGCACCGCAGTTCACGAAACGGAGCGGGGGGTGCGGGCGAGCTGCCAGGGGACTCAGCGAGGACACGCACGGTGACACCGCATATCGGCCACACGCCTCGCTCTGCTTCTGCAGCAGCTGTCCCACGGGCACATCCAGGAGCAAGGCCGCTGGCCACAGAGCCCCAGGGGAAGAACTTGCGCCCCTGACTCCAGGGCGTCCGTCCCCAGCGCTCCAGAACACAGCGAGGCGTGCGCAGCGCTCGCGTGCCCGATGGGGCCTGCAGAGCTTTCTGTGTTACGGGAAAGTCATGGCAGCCGAGTGGGCCGCGAGGGCGGCGGTGTGACAGGAAGTCCCTCCCGACCCCGGGCTGAGCGCGGGCACGCAGAGAGACCACAGGCCCCCGGTTCTCGGAGGGTGAAGGGCACAGACCAGCGCCACACGGGGGGTTGTGGGGCTACAGCGACTTGCCTACCCCAGGTGTCACTGCATCGCGTGGAGTCAAGCGACAGGGCCGGCTGTGAAACCCGTCCGCAGAGAGGGGGCCACAGAATGTCCAGCCTGAGCCCACGCGTCCTTCCCCTCGCTTCTAGTGACATCCACTCAGTGTGGCCTCTGCACCCTAGTTTATGAATCCTATCAGATGATGCCTCAATTCTTTTAAGAAAAAAAAGAATTGACCCAATAAATAATTTCAGCATCTGGGTAAAAGAAACTCACTCGGAGCATCTGGCCTTCACAAGAAGTGACACCTTCTCGTCCACGCAGCACGTGCAAACGCCGCTCACCTGGCGTGGAGAAGGCGGTGAGCACCCAGGCATTTTCCACTTTAACAGGACACCTTTTCAGCAACGAACCCACCTAGGTCCTGAGGCCCCAGGGACCCTGCCGATGGCCCCTCCCTCTGGTCCACTGGGGTTTCCTGTCTGGATCATTTTGTTCTGCACGGCACTGGGCAGGCAAGTCACGCGTGGATAACTGCGGACGGCAGCACACGCTGACTTGGCGGGAAGACGAATCACAGCGAAACATTTAGCAGCTGCGCGACCGTGGGAAGCGTTAGGCACTGTCCCCCATCCGCAGAGTGGGCGGCACATCCGTCCCACGGGAAGTCGGAGCAGCCGCAACGAGAGTGAGAACCCTGTGTGACGCCTGCTCTGCACACCGGGACGCGAGGCTAACGCTGGGCGAGGTCGCCGTCCCGCATCCTCAGGAACCACATGCAACTGAAGCGCGACGTTCACGAGGCGGAGTTCCCGGCCCGCACGCGCACGCGCCGCAGGCTTTCCTTACCCCGCCGCCTCAGGCAGGCCTGGCAGACAGCAAAGCTCTCACTGTGGTTCACGTGTTTGTCCTCCGCGAAAGGAAGCTCGGAAAAAGCTGCCACTCAGAAGGGTTTCAGGGGCTTAGACCTGCCTGGCCCAGCCACCCACGTTCCAACGCTGCACACCCTCAGCCTCCGCCCCATGCGAACTGCCACATGTCCCCGCGGCCTGCTCACTGAGCACGTCTGTGCACGGTCGGGTCCCACAGCCCACAGGCCTCTAAAGCCCCAAAGACTCAACACCCGAATGTACATAGCGAAATGTTTGCTCAACCTACGTAAACTTTTTAACCCTAAGCACCCTGTCACAAATGTCCAATTTTGACCCAATACACAGTGAACAATGTGCCACCACGGGGAATGGCACCAGCTCACACAGGTGCAAGAACAGGACTGGGGAGCGGGGCCCGAAGCCACCACAGCAGCTTCACAGCAGGAGCACTCACACCACAGCAACCAGCAAACGCTGCCCGTCAGGGCTCTGCCACCAGGGCCTCTGTCACCAGGCCCAGGAAAGCCAGCACGTCAGCCATGGGAACCCCACGGCGGATGAGATCGGGCATGTTCAGGATGCTATGGCCATGGACGGGAAACCCACCATCAGAAACACTCTGACTTCAGTGACTGCCACATTCATATTTGCAAATATGCAAAAATCAGTCCCACAAGATATGTGGAAAATACTTAAAATCTTTCCACCCCATATTTTACATACAAATTATTTCATAATCATCTCGCTTTCACTGTCAGGTAGAGATGTAACATATTTCAAATCATCAAATACGGCCACTCGCTTAATGTTTGTGGTTCTGTTACTCAGTTATCGTTAGACTTTGCAGGGTAAGCCCTGGGGACTTGCTGCAGAATCAGTTCATTCCTGAAACTTCTAATTGTCCCTCACAGCCAAACGGGCTGCACCCTGACAGGAGATAAAGGCTTGGGGCGTGAGGGTCAGCGCCTGGCCCGAGCGCTGCCTGAGTAAATGCGAGTCCATTAAGCTCCCTCCTGCCTCAGCGTGACCTCCCCAGACGACAAGGCAATTCTTAAGCAACGCCACTGAAAATCCAGACAAGGGAGCCAGGTCACCCAAGAGTGGAGTGGCTCGCACCCTCTCCAGGGCCCGGCGCCTCGTGGCTGGAGAGACACGTACATCGCCTGCACTCTCGTTCCGGCAGGGACAGATGCGCTGCGTCTTCTGGTTAGACAAACACCACACGCATCCTGGGACACGTGAAAGCGTAAGAAAGGTCAGCCCCTAGTGCCATGGGTCACATTACAAAACGAAAGCCACGCTTCATCCCAAAGTCGATCCTGTTTAACATTGTGGCAAAATGCACATAACACGAAATGTGCTGTCTGAACGAGCCTTGGTGCACAGCTCAGGGGCGTTCCCGTGGTCACACTGCTGAGCAGCCGTCTGCACCACCTCCAGATCGTTTTCATCCTCCAGCACTGACGCTTCGTACCCGTCCCAAGGCTTAGCTGATCTTCTTAATTAAAAATTTAAAAAGTCTTATATAAAACCACTAATGTGAAAACAAATTACACTGAAGTTCATAAGGACCCCACATGCCACTAAAATTCAAAAGCAATAACCACCCTGAGTCTGCAGAAATTTACAACCGACATTTCCTAAATAATTAAGCAGCTTCGGACATATTAAATTATACGAGTAGAATAGAATTCAACTTTGAATGAATTTACACTTTTAACAGTTATAACTTCGACCGACTCTTCTTTATTCACCTTTGACATAATCCCTCTGCTCTCCACACCTAATGTCACGGCCTTCGGCCCTCTAGAACTGACTTCACTGCGAAACCCGAACACAAAACACTTCTACGGAAATCGCCTAGCAGATGTCAACAAGCAAGTTTCAAGGACAACATTCTAGGTCCCAAGGTTGCGTGGATTCTTATGAAAAGCAAATAAAATATCTCAGTTTGGCAATATTTCCCACATTAACTTGAAACTTCTTATGAAAACAAACCATCTAAAAATATAGAAAAACTAATTTCAATATCTAAAATCCACTTAGATCCCCACAGAACAGTAATTGTATCGTCATATTTGGGGCTTCTCAGAATCAGAGAAATGACTGATCCACCTGAATGATATAAACTAACCTGGAAACCCCACCCCTCCCTAAACTGTGTCATACTTGCCAATGTCAATGGACACGGTTTGCAAAAATCCTTTGTTTGTTTACATGTGAGTTGTTCATACATTTTCATTATGAATCAAAACTTTTAGAAAATGAAAAGACGCTCAAAAACATCTAACCATATTCTAAACAAACGCCCCCAAAAGTATTAAATACACTAAAAATCACAACTAAGAAATAACACACTCCAAGCTGATTCTTTTTGCTTTTCTTAACTTTGAAACTACAAAATTTCAAAGGTTTTTACTTTTACAAATAGGTAAAAAAAACAGAGACAGTTCTATAAACTTTTTTGAGAAATAACAGAGCCAGTAATGTAATCTATCCATATTCATAAGTAAATAATGAATATCGTACTTCTCCCCAGGTACTCAGCGCCTGACGTGGGGTAGTGCAGTACGCAGGACGGCGCCTGGCTGACCACCAACAGCTGTGCCCTGGACCCCGCTCATCACTGGTAAAGATGCTACTGACGATGGAAGCAGAGTAGACCCGACAGACTGGATCCCATTACGATTCGTTTCGCCATAGCTAGAAAACACCTAAGAAACGTCAGTAACCTGTTTCATACCCAACAACGGTGTCCTGGGTACACACAGACGACCGAGTCTAGGAGTGAAAAATCTCTAACAGAACCTGCCACAGAAAGTAGGCAGCCTTCTCTCCCTTCTCCTGAGAACTTGCTCTTTCTTTGATGAAAATACCTTAAATTAGACGCCCTGCATGGGAGAATAACAAAGATGTCGATCCACAGGATAACACACTCCAAGCTGATTCTTTTTGCTTTTCTTAACTTTGAAACTACAAAATTTCAAAGGTTTTTACTTTTCCCCCCCTCCATCGCGTTTCCTTAAAAGTAGCACGAACCACCTCACTACAACCTCCAGCCACATACGTGTGACCTACGAGAACTCACACATCACACTGTCTCCTGCTAAGAGATGTCTGTCCTCTGCTTTATTCACTGAGGCCCTGCGGGTGTTAAGATATAAAATCAGGCCAGGTCCCACCCTGAGTGCAAGTGAAGCCTGATTGCAAACAGACTTCAAACACACTCCAGGCTGGCCAGTAATGGTGCTTTTCCTTAATATAGAACTATAATCAACCAAAAAACAACTTTGAAACTAATACATTCAACCTTATAAAACAACCTGTTTCCTTTAAAAATCCCAGAAAACAATCACCTAAATCTATTTCCTTTATCAAATAAAATCAGATCTCTAAACTCAGATTATAACTCACTGTAGAATTGAGTAATCTACTATTGGCTTATCTGATTCAATATATAATCCTGTATTAACAACTAAACACCTGAGATACCTAAATCATGCAATCATATTTCTCCATTTTTCCACTGATGTAAAACCTATAACCTCAAATCAGAAAAACAGAGTGTATTTACCTGTATTCCTGTCTGGTAAGATGCAGCAATGCTTCTGCAGAATGCCAGGCAGGACCTGTTTCAAAACAAAGAAAACACATGTGGTTACGCTCAGGTAGAGAAAGGCGTCGCATTATTAAATGTGTGAGTGTCTTCTAATGAGGTCACCCCGCGCTGCACAAAATCATGCCCAGAACTGTCTAACAAATTAAGCAGCACTGAAAAATTCTGATGACCTTCATTTTTCATCAGAAAGGTTAATCGGGTAAGTGTGCTAATCACCTGTGCTGCCCTGCAGTGCGGACGCAGCCTGTCCCGCCACCGGCCCTAATGGTCCCCAGAGTGTCGTGAAAGCCACACTCCAGGGGCTCTCACGATAAGGCAAATGGGCCCACCGATTTTTGTGATGGCTTTTAAAATACGAGATGCAATTAGGGCCTGGAAATGGGGGCGCGCTGGAGCAGCACCCTGGGTCCATCTCCCAGATCCAAGCAGAGATGCTTTTACCACGGATGAGTCACAGAGGAAAATAGGAGAGAAAAGGCTCTGTTTACACTCACGGTGCGGGAGTAACAGGTGAAGGAGGTAACTTATTTGATGAGTGAAGGGAAGGCGGACATAACAGGAAATGGCTTTCCCAAGAAAAGTCAGCGACGTCAGGCAGCTGCGCAGCGTAGACCGAAAGGGAAGGATTTATGATTCTGCTTCCCTGAACTCAATTAGAGTAAAAGCTGAACTTCCACCTCAAATACCCCACAGACGAAGCTGCCACTGTCCCAAAGTCCTTGGCCAAGAACACGTGCCACTTCTCCCCAAGCAGCTTCCCCAGTGGGGCGGGGGAAGGATGTGTGCAGGGGACCCGCCCTTGGCCAAAGTCCCGTGCAGCTGGGAATGCGACGGGTACTGACGACTGTAGGGCTCTCCTCCAGGGGTGACCCATTCTCCCCCACACCCCCGCTCCCTCTCTTTGTTAAGAAAGAATAATCCTCACCCAAGTGTGGTCACTCGTGACCAAGAGGGTAGCCCCAGTTTCCCACACTGAACAGACTGCAGGAAATAAAGCCCCAGTGAAACCAGTGCCCACTCAGTACTGTGCAAAGTGTGGAAGTCACTTTCAAAAGCATGTTTCCCACCCTCTGGGAGTTGCCTGTTTGTTGGGACACAGAACAACCCTGCCAACAATTAGGGACTGACTGAGCACTAATATCGGTGATGACAAGGACAGCGCCATCTCCCGACTGTGCCTGGGCACAGGGCATCACTGTTCTCCCGTCAGCCAGCCCGTCCGAAACCAGGCACCACTGAGTCACTTCTCTCCCTCAGCTGCCCCTGGCACTCGGTGTCCAGTAGTATAGTGTCACACACACACGTGCACATACGCACTCACACGGGCACATATGCACACTCGCTCACGCAGTCACAATCTCGGGTTCCTTGCGACTCTGCGTTTCTCATCCACAGCCAACATGCCCTTTCCAGCACTTTCCAAAGACCCTTAGAGGTCAACACTAGGCAAAGAATCTCCCCCAAAAGAAACCACCAATCTTGCAAGCTGGGGAAATGCTGCACATCGTGTGATCTGCTGGGAGGGTGAAAACACAAGTGACCACAACAGTCCCCCCAGTCCTGCGGCTGAAGGCCACGTCCCAGTGCCGCCGCTGCCAGACACGAAACAGCTGGCCCGATGCACCTGCGCATGGGCAGGTGCGCCTCTGACACCGGACCGCTCCCGGCGCGGCTTCCTCCGCGAGCTCCGAGGCACAATGCCTCCCGAGTCCCCCCATTCCAGCTTCCGGACGCCTCCGCGCCACCAGCCAAGCGGCCGCGGCTCCATCCGCAGTCCTGCCCGCGGGCCCGTGTCTGTGCTGGACGTGCCAAGGGGCGCCCACGGGGCCCACGCAGGAAAGCAGGGACCCGGCAGAATCCGAGACGATCCGGGCCGGCATCCTCGGGGCGACCACCTGCGTTCAGAAATGACACTCGTACCTGTTGACACCAGCAGTGGCCGCAGGTGACACCTGTGTTCTGTCTGACATAGGCGCGGCCTCGGAAATGCGAGGGACGCCACACCATGGCCCGGCCGGGGGGCAGGAAGGCAAGACTCCAGCCGGCTCACGTCCTGCTCTCTGGGGGTCTCCAGGAAGACGCGAAGGAGAACGGAGTGGCCCTCCCCGCCCACAGCACCTTCAGAAATCCGTCCACTCCGCCCGCCTCTCCGCGACGCGCTGAACAGTGACTGGCAGACATGGCGCCGTGTGCCACTGGCGCTGGGCGAGCAGAACGCCCCAACCGAGCCCTGGTCTTCCCTCAAGGATCGTCCGTGGGACCTCGAGCGCGCCCACATAGCCAGGAACGCGCACGCGTGACCCCGAGCGCGCCCACGTGACCTCGGGCGCTCACGCGTGATTCCACGTGTGACCTCGACTGCGCTTGCGTGACCTCCGAGCGCACCCACGTAGCCCCGAGCGCGCATGCGTGACGTCGAGCGTGCCCGCGTGACGTCGAGCGCTCCCGCGTGACATCGAGCGCGCACACGTAGCCCCGAGCGCGCACACGTGACCACAACAGCAACATTGTGCACTTTCACAAACTGTCCCTATTTACGTGCTCTGTCATCTGTCCGGATTCTTCCAACTGACCATCGATTCCTAAAATGCTGATTTCAAGGTTTCACGTAAATCCCAACTCCTCTGGTGGGGCCGGCCTGGGCGGGGTTTACCTGTCCGACTGCCAGGTCGAGGGGACTGGAGGTGAGACCGCCGGCCGCGTGGGGTTATAGAAACCGAAATAAAAATCAAGGAAAAATTAAAGTTCAGGCCCTCCGTTGCAGTGGCTGCTTTTTAGACGCGCAGCGGCCACCAGTTTGGGTTGTGCAGGTATCAAATACTTGAACCATTTTCAGATGAAGAAAACTATACGTGCCTGGGTCCAAATTTCCCTGACTTCGTAAATCACTAGTCATCCTGGATTAGAGCCACCCCAGTGACCTCATCCTAACGTAGTTAGATCTGCAAAGACACTATTGCCAAATAGAGTCACACTGAAGAACCGGGATGAGGATGCCAACCTATTTTGGGGGGGACACAATTCAACCCACAAGATAGGGTAAAACTCGGGAACCAGAGGCGGGAGACCTGGGTGTCATCCTTAACCCTGCCGTTTATTACAAGTCACTAGTATTCGTCCCTCCTTCAGAGGAGCTGTGTTGGAGCGCTCTGGGGTCATTCGATCATTCTGCCGAACCATTTCCGAACCGGTTTGTAGGTCATTTGCACTTGGCTTTTTTCACAGCCAAACCTAGCCGCCACCAAGGGCGGTAACTAGCTCCATGACATCTTTTTCTTTTAATAATCTTTGGCCCCAATCAACATGCAACTCTCCAAAACTCAAAGGACAAAAATGTCCTGATAGGAACGAAAGGAAAGAACACACAAGAGGCCACGAAGGAATTCACAGTGCTTCGGGCGCCTCGCGTGTAACTCAGTGCTGGAGCTCCCACGGCGCGTACACTTGTCCCTTCCTGGGGCAGCCGCCCAGGCCACCATGGAATGCCGGCCGTCCCCTGCTCCTTGTCTCCCACCCCACGTGCCGCTCGTGCTCGCTCTCACCAGGAAGCCGGGACTGTGTGACGCCGACCTAAACACGCGTTACCGAACCTAGCAACCTCTGGGCTCCGCTCCGCCGCGGTCTGCGGTACGCCGCCAGGTCGCGCGGTTTCTTCTCTGAGCTCTCGGCCTTGGCCTTTGAGCTGTCCCTTCCACCACTGCTGCGCTCTGTGTCCCCATTCGTGAATTCCACAGGAATTTCATGAGTGGGTGCCTGTTAAATGCCAGGTGGTCGGAGCCCCAAAGATGACTGCTATTAGGCAGGTAGAGGCCAGAGCCCGGGACAGGCACAGACGCGGTGCCGGCGAAAAGTCTGGGCATGATGGCTTTCAGTGGGAGGTGGGGCATGTCACTGCCTCAGTCTGTTATCGCCACGTCCTCCCGGCTGAAGTCCATCTGCTGGCCCCTCTCACTCTTAACAGCGGCCCCTGCTAGAGGTGACATCCTTGACTGCCCCTGACTCCCAGCTTCTGGACCCGCGGCGGCTCCGCACCATGTGAGGTGCAGTCTGCACCCCAAGTTGTCTCACCGTGCGCTCCCGGTGGATGAAAGTTTCCTTCCTCCCCTCCCCCCTCAGATTCCCTCCCTTCCCAAGGTCACCTGCCCATCTGAGACTCCCAGGACCAGAGACAGCAAGACGGGCAGTGAGGTGCAGTAAATGTCATCCCGACCTGCACGCGAACCTTGGTTTCTCGTCTGCAAAGCCGGAGTGGTGGCACCACCCGCCCCCACCCCTGAGCGCTGGGACAGCCGCAGGCCCGACGCCGGCGAAACGCCGGGGAAACGCGCTGGCAGCACAAGGCTCGCGGAGCGATGGGGCCGCCGGGGTGCGGCTGCCGCGGGTGAAAGGCAACAGGGCAGAAACGGGGACGGAGGAAAAACATAAAGAGCCGGAAGCGATAACATTTTGAAATAATGATAATGTATCCACAACCCAAGAAGAGGATTCTGTGCTTATCAAAAAAAAATTCACAGAAAAAGAAGGAGCTTTTGTAAATTAAAACCAGGAAAACCAAAAAAAAAAATTCAAAATGAATTCAAGAAACTATCCCAGAAAGCAGACAAAAAAAAGTCAGAGTCGAGGGGGACATAAAATGATTTGGCCATTCCTGGAATACACTATCTGAGCGAAAGAAGTTCAGGACAAAAAACCCATAACCAGAAGGGAACAGTGCTGAGCGAACACAAGCCCGCACGTCTGAATGACATGAATTTCTGAGTTGATAGGCCCACTGAGCACCCAGCACAATCAATACAAAAGGACCAGCCTCACATCAGTGTGAAAATTCAGAGTAAAAAGAGGGTCCCAAATACAGCCAACAGACAAGTGACTGGAAGCCAGAAAATTCAGAAACAGTGCTTTGGAAACTATGAGAAAATAAAGGCCCCAAACATAAGCCGCCAGCAAAAGAAGACACTGTGAGACAAGCACAGAGCAGTGTGCCCCTCGGGACATCTCTGGGAAGTGCAGAGGAGCCTCCACTGGGTCCCCAAGCGGCGCCCAGGCCGTGGGCCGATGGGGGAGGGATGGGGAGAGCCAGGAGGGACATGTCCCCAGAGCAAAAGGACTGATGTTGGGTGCACGGAACGAAAGAAATGTGCTGAAGGCATTAGGGAATGATCCCGGCTTGTTTTTTAAAAAGCAATTAACAATTAATAAAACATTGCATAAAAGAGACATAACCCTAAAATTTAATGTGACATAAGTACTAACTCTTGACTTATCCCAAAATCAGGATGTGATGTTGAGCACACCGGGTGGGGGGAGGAGAGGTGCTGCAGGAGAGAGGGTCCCACCACCCACCACAGTGGGCAGGCGGAGGACAGGGCCAAGAGCCTTGGGGCCTTTGGGCAGCAGGATCGGGGAGGGGTGTGAAACGCTGACTTGGCTCTTTATCATAAGCTTTTTAAAGCTTCGCTTTTTAGGGTATGCACATGTTTAAATTAAATGAAATTAAAATTAACTCATAAAGTAATGTATGGCACATCTGCACAATGATCTTTACAGCTATGAGGAAGCCGCACTGACATGTATTGACGAACATTTTAAATGACCAAGACACCTATTTGGAATTAAAGCACTTCTACTGGGCATCTTTATAGCTTTCTCATTATGATTTGCACACATCTGTAAACTCGTAGTCTTTACCTCTTTGCTCAAAACATACGTCCTGTAAACCCAAAGAAAAGCAAATGCTGGGTTAAGAGCTAGAACAACATCTAAGTAAATCCAACCCGATCCAGAGTCACTTTATGATAAAATGCTTATGAAGGGCTACAAAAATATTCAAGCCGTAGTAATCAAGACGGTGTCGCATCGGGGAAAGAATCATCA